CAGCTCCTCAGACTCCGATGGGAATTTGGACTGGGCTATTTTGAGGGCTGCCATAGTTTTGCAGTTGTTTTCCCAGCAGACTTTTAGCCAGGAGGGTCGTGCAAGCGCCGCATCCTGCCAACAGTAGATGTAAGGGAATTGGTCTGAGTGAGCTGGCTCTCCTACTATAATTCTGTATACTCTCCTAATGGTTTTTCTATCTAAGGAGCCCTCTGGTGGCCATCCAGCCCCCAAAGAGGGCCAGTCTATTTCACAGAACGTGCAGAGGTTACCCTGAGACAGTTTGATACCATACAACCTCCACAGAAGCATTTGTCAAAGTTCTTAAGCATACGATCAAGGGGGTAGTCTTACTTTGGTTTCTACCCATTTCCTCCCCCTAACAGATGGCAAGCACACACAAATGAGGGAACGGGAGTATGGAAAACAGCTGCTTCGTTCTCCTCCAGCCGTACTCCTCGCAGAGATATTAACAATTGGCAGGTTGGTATAAACCCCCAACCCGACCAACCCTCTGATGGGCTGGGGCTGCCTTCAGCTGTATGCGGTTGTCACCGGCTTAGATCGGGACTCAATACTCACTTCAGCCCTTTGGTCAGGTCAGAACCCTTCTGCTGTCTGTCTCATTCACACACAATAATCACACAGCACATTCTCCACCGCCCCACCCTAATCCTAGGAGTCAGTGGGTTGGTCTGGAGACTGTTTCCTTCCACTGCCTTTCAGTCCTTTCCTTCAGACTGGAGACGACTAGCGTTCTCCTGGAGGCGATCAAGCTCTTCTTCTGCCATCTGCTGGTAGGTCTATGCAGAGTCCCTTGTTCCTCCCCTTTCCGGCCGGCGGCGCTCCTCACCGGTTCCTCGCCTCTTTGGGTCCCTGTTGTGCTTTCGAGATCTGAGCCTCAGTGTGCCGGGAGGGGCTTTCCTCCTATGGATCAAAAGGTCCATTGTGCGCCAGGTGAGATTGCCTCTCCCGTCGCCCCGGAGCTTGCACCCTGATGACAAAGGAGGTGGAACACACCGTCTCACACTCCCTTTCTTGGCCAATCCACCAAGAAATGTTGCTGGAAAACAGACTGTGACACCGAGGCTATCTTAAGAAGTAACGTTTTTAGCCGGGCTCGGTGGCTCAGCCTGTAATCCTGTGCCTTTGGGAGGCTGAGGTGAGTGGATTGCCTGAGCCCATGGGTTCGAGACACGCCTGGGCAACTTGGCGAGACCTCATCTCCACAATAAGTCAGAAAATCAGCCGGGCGTGGTAGCGCATGCCTGTAATTCCGGCTACTTGGAAGGCTGAGGCAGAAGGATCACCAGAGCCCAGCAGGTCGAGGCTGCGGTGGCCGGGAGCGGCCACTGCACTCCAGTCTGGGCGACAGAGTGAGGCTCCAACTCAAAAAAAATTTTCATTAGCACCAGCGTGACTCAGCGGGCTAATGCTCCAAGATTGAGCAACCTGGAGAAAGAGGAGAGGGTTTTATCTGTTAGTTTAGGTAAGGGAGGGGATTGAGTTGTATGGCTATACATTTTTCTTTGGAATTTGCAAGGTAGTGTTTAGCAAAACCAAATTTTCAAAGAACAGATTGTCTCCAGGGTATACATGACAAGCAGGTGTTGTAAACTGATAACTTCACAAAGAGAGGATGTGGGGGTAAAGTTGTGAATCGATTATTATCTTGCATTTCCAGGAAAGCGGCTTGTGGCTATGTAGTTTTCTCATGTCCCATGTCTAGCAGGTTTGGAGCTTGCGGGTTGATTTTTTTTAAAGGAATAATTATTAACTGTTTTTAGCTCATCTTTCCCACAGTGCTAGATTCAAAGAATGTTGGGGTAAAATCTAAGCAAAAATGGTTATGCTGTGGCAAAGACGACGCTAAACTGAGTTTATTCTAGGTTTCTATAGGCAACTCCTTTCATGAACTTTTTGAGATAAAATTTAGATATTAATTATTTGTTCTTCACTTCTACTATGTGCATTTAAGGTATAAATTTCTTTAACATTATTGCTTTGGTTTTAGCCTATAAGTTTCCATTGTCAGTTTTTCCAAATATATTAAAATTCCCATTGTGATTTATTTACTTTTTTGATTCATGGGTTATTTAGATGTATATCATTTAATTGTTAAGCAATAAGGAATTTTTTAGATTAAAAAACACTTATTCACCTCTAGCTTAACTATGTAATAGTCAGAATGTGCACAGAAAGACTTCAGACCTTTGAAAACTGCTGATACCTTGTGACCTTGACCTAGCATAGGTCTATCTTGGTATGTGTTTTTGTATAGTTTTTTATTTGGAAGAGCATTTTGTGTATGTGTACAACACACAGTCACATATATGTAGTTTATGTAATTTTAAGTCTAGTTATTTAATTGCTCAAATCTTCTGTATCTTAGCAATTTTTTTAGTCTGCTTGATCTCATAACTGTTGACAAACGTGTGTTAGTCTCCATGTGATTATGGATTTGTCTGTCATGTTTTAGTTTTGTATACTTTTGCTTTATGTATTATTAAACTTTGTTTTTGGGTCCATTGAGATTTAGAATTATTGTATCTTCTTGTTGGTATGATTTTTTGATTATTTAAAAATGTGTTTCTTTATCTTTAGCAATACTTATTGTCTTAAGTTTCTTTTGCCTGATATGTGCTTGGCCATGCCACCTTTCTTTTGGTTGGTGTTTGAATTGTATATCCTATTCCATCATTTTACATTAAATATTTTTATGTTTATATATGGTTTTTCCTAGAGTACTTAATAATAATGGTTATAATTTGAGTTTAAATCTGTTGCTTTTACATTATTTGTTATATATTTTATCCACATGTCTGTGCTACTTTTAATCTTACATCTTTCTTTGATGTAGTCACATTTTTAAATTATTTTTACGTCCTCAATTTATTTTTAATGGATAACCTAAAGACGATTACATGAGTTTTTGAGTTATTGAAGTGTAATGTAAATTACTAATTCTACTATTCCTGAATAGTGCAGATATCTTAGGCACTTCAATTCTATTTATCCCATTTCTGCCTTTTCTGTTGTTGTCATATATTTCAGATTTATTTTTACAGTCATTATTTATTAATACCAACATAGTTACCCTTTGTATGGCTCTTTCTTTTTCATTTTTATGCTTCTTTGTAGTATCATTTTCCTTCTGTTAGAAGAACTTCTTTTTATTGTTTTTTTTAGTAACAAGTTCTTTGTTTTTTTCTTTCCTGAAATCACTTATTTGATTATTATTTTTCAAAGATATTTTAAACTGAGAGTAGATTACTTGATTGGCAACTGTTTTCTTTCAGTTTAAGGTGATTTCATTATCTTTTACCATTCAGCATTTCTGTTGGAAATCATCTATCTGTCAGTCTGTTTATTTTTGCTATTTTATTTATTTAATTTTTTTTGAGTTGGAGTCTCACTGTTTTGTCCAGGCTGGAGTGCAGTGGCACGCTCATGGCCACTGAAGCCTCTACTTGATGGGCTCAGGCAATCCTTCTGCTGCAGCCTTCCAAGTAGCTGAAACTACTGGCATGTGCCACCACACCCAGCTAATTTTTTTGACTTATTGTAGAGATTAGGTCTTGCCAAGTTTTCCAGGCTGGTCTTGAACCTGTGGGCTCAGGCATTCCTCTCACCTTGGCCTCCCAAAACACTGGGGATATAGGCATGAGCCACTGTGTCTAGCCAATTGTTGCTATTTTAAATGTGTGTGAGAGTGTGTGTTTGTCTAGCTGTTCGAAAGATTGTCTTTGGTTTTCAGCAGTTTGACTATGATTTACTTAGTGTTTTTCTTAGTATTTATTCTGCTTTTATTTGACAGGCTTCTTTAAAATGTAACTTCATGTCTTTCATTAATGTTAGAAAATTCTTAGGTATTTATCACTTATTATGTTGCTTCTTTTGTAATTTCATCCATTTTTCTTCTGAGGTTTCAGTTATATGTATGTTAGAACTTTTCATTGGTTTTTTTTTTTTTAATGTGTCTAGTACTCTTTTCTGTATTTTTCAATGTTTATCTCTCCATGCTTTGGTTTCGATATTTTCTGCTGACCTGAGTTCCACTTCAGGTTTGCTCTGTTCAGTCTGCTAGACTTACCAAGTACTGACAACAATTTTGGGAAATTTTGCTACTAAAAAGAGTGAAGACATAGGTCAGTTAATTGCACCATGGAGGAGTAAAGAGGAGGGCTTTCTTTGTTTTTGGACAGGACACACTAAAATATGGTATGATTGGAATGATTCTGTAGAGAGAAAAAGGTAAAGCTGTGTGAGAGAGAAAAGGAAGAGGAATTTTTTTTTTTTTTTTTTGAGTTGGAGTCTCACTCTGTCGCCCAGACTGGAGTGCAGTGGCCACTCCCGGCCACCGCAGCCTCGACCTGCTGGGCTCCGGCGATCAGAAGAGGATTTTTTAAAACAAAGTTCTGGAAAAGATGAGAGAGTATGTAGCATACAATACAGTCAGAGGGTTTTCCTTTGGTAGGAGTGGAACATAGAGAGGATGGGCACTGATTCACATACGTAGTCTTGTTAGGTGGGATTCTGGCTTAACCAATGAAAAATCTGAAGTTGCTGTAAGATTTTAGAATCTGGGTGTGTGTTTTACGTATAGGAAAATTGTCCAAGAAATGGAGAGCCAGTGAAGGGTAAACAGTATTTACAACTAGCTAATTATTTCCTATTTCTGTGTATCCTCTGTGATATCTACCTTTATTTCTTAGGGTAGACAGAGTATTATAGTATACTTTTAAGAAGCTATTTAAATATTTATTTTTTTGGTCATATTGTTACAGTTTCATATTATGTATTTAAACAATTTTCTTTTTGGTTTAATAATTTTGTTTTAATTAATATGGGTACATGGTAGTATATATTTATGGGTAAACACAGTTAATTCTGTATAGTGAATTTTAAATTCTTGGTGGTAGTTTGAGTAGAAAATCAAATTTTCTTAAACAGATTTTCCTGTATTTTCTTTTGCAGTTTTGTTCTAGAACAGCATAATCATGTTTCGGAATAGTCTTAAGATGCTTCTTACTGGTGGGAAGTCAAGTCGTAAAAACAGATCAAGTGGTAAGTGACTGCTACATTTATTGTGTGTGATATTTTAGAAATAAACTTTTTTAGGAATATGAATTGATGCTGTAACACTGTTATTGTTTATTACACTATCTATTAAATTAACCTACTTATTAAATACATTTATAATCTGGAGTTTCCAAAATCTGGAGTTTCCAAAGGTTTTTTTGGTTAGTGGTAGACATTTATTATATTCTGCATAATCTTTTCAATTTACTTATTTTTCTGCAGTTTATAAATTTATATCCATTTATTCATTTCAGAATGTTTTTATAATTTCCATTGTGTTTTTTTAACACATAGGTATTTAAAAGTGTACTTGTTAATGTCTAAACTGTAGATTTTGTGGTTATATTATAAAGAAAAACTATTCTACACCTACCGAATACAGGAAAACTGTTTTCTCCTCTACCACTCATAACAACATTTCTAGCTGTCAAATTTTTCCCTGCAATGGGTTCAACTCAGTTCTCTGGTGGACACTCACTAGATAGCCTACGATTCAGTTCTCATTTCTGACACTGTCTACCTGGAGTTAGCACAGACCCCACAGGTTATGATCTCAGTCCTGCAAGACTGCATTCCACTTCAGAGGCCAATTGCAAGTGGGGGGTCCCCAGGTTATCCACAGCTTCTTTCGAACTTGCCTGCAAGTCAGAGGTTCTCCTGACCTGTTCCTCAGGTTCGATCATTTGCTAGAATGACTTCCAGAAATCAGGAAAACAAGATTAGTGGTTTATTATAAAAGAATACAACTCAGGAGCAGTCAGATGGAAGAGGTGGGTAGGGCAGGGTATGGGGGAAGGGGCACTGAGCTTCCATGCCATTTTCAGGTATGCCGCCTTTCCAGCACTGTCATGTGTTCAGCAACCCAAAAGCCCTCCAAACCCCATCCTTTAGCGTTTTTATAGAGGCTCTGTTGCGTAGACAGGATTGGTTAAATCATTGACCACTGGTGATGAACTGAACCTTCAGCACATCTCTCCTCCCCAGAGGCAGAGGGCAAGGCTGCAAGTTTCTACCCTCTGCTCCCTTGGTTGGTTCCCTTGGCAACCAGCCCATCCTGAAACTATCTCTGCCAGTCATCTTGTTAGCATTAAAAAAAACTCCTATTATTCTGGAGATTCCAAAGGTTTTAGAGCTATGTACTTGGAAACGGGGCAGAGACAGTCACATTTATTATTATTGAATTCTAGCTTAATTGTACTGTTATCAGAGAACCTATTATGTGCTATTTCAGTCTTTTGATATTCACTGAGATTTGCTTTACAGTTCATCATTTGGTCATTATGTTTGGAAACCTTTCTAAATTAGGAACATTCAAATTTAGGATTGTTACATCTTCCTGGTGAATTGACTTTTTTACCATTATGAAATGTCCCTCTTTGTTTCTAATACTGCCTTTTGTTTGAAAGTTGATTTTGTCTCATATTAATATAACTACCCCAGCTTTCTTTTGATTAGTGTTTTCAAACTATGATTTGTTTTATCTTTTTACTTTCAGACTATGATTTGTTTTTTCTTTTTACTTTCAGCATTTCTTTATGCTTATGATCTGAATAGTATATAGTTGGATTTTCTTGTTATTCATCCAGAAAGTCTTTTCTCTGAAGGAAGTCTCTTCTCTACATTATTTCAGTCAGTGAGTTATTTGGGCTTAAATATAACATATTCCTATGTGGTTTCTACTTGTCTTATTTGTTCTATGCATCTTTCTCTCTCCTTTCTTGCTTTATTTTCCTCTAAAGGCAGTCTGCCTTTATTCTCTTTAAGTTTTCGAGATTTATATTGATATGCCTAGGAGGCGCTTTCTTTTTAATCTGACATTTAAATCTTTGTTTATCTTCTATTTTTGTTTGTAGGGTTTATGAATCTGTGACGTAATGTCTTTTATCAACTTCGGAAAACTGTTCCTCGTTATATTTTCAAATTTTAATTTTTCTCCCATTTTTTTTCTTTCTAGGACTCTAGTTATGCATTTGACATATCATCTGCCCTATATTTTTTTCTCTTTTGTCTCTATATGCTGGATATTTTCTTTTGACCGGATATATTCTTCATTGGTATATAATCTACTCCTAACTATATTTAGTTCTTAATTTTAGTTTTTTTGTATTTCAGTTCTAGAATTTCCATTGCTTCTTTTATTTTTTATTTTTATTTATTTATTTATTTATTTGAGTTGGAGTCTCACTCTGTCGCCCAGACTGGAGTGCAGTGGCTCTCCCAGCCACTGCAGCCTCTACCTGGGCCATCCTTCCGCCTCAGCCTTCTGAGTAGCCGGAATTACAGGTGCGCGCTACCATGCCCGGCTAATTTTTTGATTTTATTGTGGAGATGAGGTCTTGCCTGCCCAGGCGGGTCTCGAACCCATGGGCTCAGGCAATCCCCTCACCTCAGCCTCCCAAAGGCACGGGATTGCAGGCTGAGCCACCGAGCCCGGCCCATTGCTTCTTTAAAAAAAAAAAAAGAAAATAATTTATGCTTATTGAGAGGCTGTAATAGTGGTACAAAGAATTACACATGACCTTACACAGATTCACAAATTATCAATTTTTATTAAATTTTCTCTATATCTCCTCTTTATACATACAGACATACATATATACGTACGCACATGCATATTCTGTCTCCCTCCCTTCATAATCCCCTCTCACTTAAAAAAAAATAATAATTTGACAGTAAGTTACATACATCATGCCCCTTCACACTCCTAAATTCTTCAGTGTTTTTTTTGTTTTTTTTTTTTGAGTTGGAGTCTCACTCTGTTGCCCAGACTGGAGTCCAGTGACATACTCCTGGCCACCGCAGCCTCAACCTGCTGGACTCCGGCGATCCTTCTGCCTCAGTTTTCCAAGTAGCTGGAACTACAGGTGCGCGCTACCATGCCCGGCTAGTTTTTGATTTATTGTAGAGACGAGGTCTCGCCAAGTTGCCCATGCGGGTCTCAAACCCACGGGCTCAGGCAATCCACTCGCCTCGGCCTCCCAAAGTGCTGGGATTACAGGCTGAGCCACCGAGCCTGGTTATGTGAATTTCTTAAGGACAAACAAATTCTTTCCTATAACTACAATAGCAACATTGATATGATTGTTTTATCCAATTTACCACCAGTTTTGTCAGTTTACCCAGCAATATCCTTTATAGAATTGTCTGCCTTGTTTTCCAGGGTCTGGTCCAAGGCAAGGTATTGTATTAATTGTTGCATATTTTTAAACTCTATATCTGTATCAATGTGCCATAAGGTCTGGGTTTCATAATTCTGTCTTTTTTTATTATCTGGTTTTTTTTTTTTTTACCTCATGTTATTTTATTTTTCCTGTGTCTATTTTTTAAAAATAAGCTTTTTATTTTAGGCTAATTTTAGACTTACAGAAAAATGGGGAAATAGTACAGACAATTCTTGTATAACCCTTTCTCGATATACCCCATTGTTAACATCTTGTATTATCATAAGAGTGTTAGTTGAAACTAAGAAACCAACCTTGGTACATTTCTGTTAAACAAACTCTGGACTTAAATTTGGAAGTCACCAGTTTTTTCACTAATGTCCTCATTCTGTAGCAGAATTTAACCTAGAGAATTACATTGCATTTTGTTATAGCTCCTGAAACATAGATTGGGGTTGGCAAAAGATATCATTAGGTCAAGTCTAAGTTTTTGTTCGTTTGTTTTTTTGAGTAGGAGTCTCACTCTGTTGTCCAGGCTGGAGTGAAGTGGTATGCTCACGGTCCCCACAGCCTCAACCTGCTGGGCTCAAGTGATCTTTCCTCCTCAGCCTTCCAGAAAGCTGGAATCACAGGTGTGCACCACCATGCCTGGCTAATTTTTTTTATTGTAGAGACAAGGTCTCTCCAAGTTGCCCAGGCTGATCTTGAAACCCTGGACTCAGGCAATCCTCTTGCCTCTGCCTCCCAAAGTACTTAGATTATAGGCATGAGCCAACGTGCCCAGCTTTTTATGTATTTACTTATTTCTTTAATTAGGTTCTCACTCTGTCCCCCAGGCTGGAGTACGGTCATGGCTCACCACAACCTTCTACTCTTGGGCTCAAGTGATTCTTCAGCCTCAGCCTCCTGAGTAGCCAGGATTGTAGGCACCATATGTGCCTGGCCAATTTTTTAAATTATTATTTTGTAGAGATGAGGACTTGCTATGTTGCCTGGGCTGGTCTTGAGCTCCTAGGCACAAGCAGTCCTCCCAGTAGACCCTCCTAAAGTGCTAGGATTATAGGCGTGAGCCACTGTGCATGGCCCTAAGTCTAAGAATTCTAATGAACATCTCAGCAAAGGCCAAATAGGGACACTCTTATAGTTCTTGCATGTTCCTAGTCTAGATTTTTGAAAAACACATACAGTATTTTTTTAAAAAGGAACTCGCATTATACATTATTGGTTACTTAGCCAATAGGATCATATGGCAGTAAGTAGCACTATAAATACCTGAAATTCCTCCCAAATTAACGAGAAAAAACTATATTGATCATCAGTATATTATATAGTAGACACTTCAACTATTTATTGGTAACACATGATATGTGAATTTTTTTGTAATGGCGATAATACTAGCCTCCAAAGAATAATTCATAAAGTACCTGCTCGGCAGGTATTTAAATGTTTTTTTTGGGAGGTTAGTGAGTGGGAGCAGGTTACTTAAGTAGTCAGTGAACCTAGTCAGCTACTTTTCTACAATATGGGGTATTCTCCAACTTGTGAATTCATGAAGTTTCTCTAAATATGCTCTTTTGTAGACCAGGATTCTTTGTTTACTGAATAGGTCTATTGAATAATACTGCCAATCATATTTCTTTTACTCTTTTGCCTTATAGTAGAGTCAAATTCCTAATTATAATTTACCAGGCATTAATAAGGTATTTATTTTTCTAGTGGGTTTACAGCATCCATTGGATATTGGTGGCCTTTATTAATCAGGTCGTTTGGCCTCCTCAGCAAAAAGAGTCTGTAGTAAGATGGATGCTTCTGTTTATGATATTA